CACCACCTGCTCCTTGATGGTAATTCCTACACAGGATCTAATAAATCCATAATATTTGCGTGCACAGGGGCCAGAAATTAATTCTGTTTCTGTAACAAGTCAAATACTTATGCTTAAAATCAGAATGTGAATAATAAACCTGAATGTAGAGCTCCTAAGCAGGGTAGGGATAGAGCAGCCTGTCCTGGATGCATCCCAGGAGCCTGGGATGAGGAATGGTAGTGCCTGAGGGACAAACACACTTTGGAAAGACAAATAAATCGCTCGGGAACAGCAGTTTGGGTATTTCATTCCTTTTAATGGACTTTATCCCTTCTGGGGAGATAGGAAACATCACTCATTGAGCTGTGAGGGAGTGTTGGGGTCAGGATTTGCTGCTGTGGGCTTTGGCTGAAAATATTGGGAAACTTCCCTGGGGAGTTGCTTCAGGAGAAGCTGAAATGCCTCAAAATGCCTCAGACTGCCCCATTATTTCTCCCACCTGGTCTGGATTATTTGACTCTTGTGGGAAGCCACCCTGTGATTTCTCAAAATGATCCAATTTTTAGGGGAAATGGCTGGTTCTGGAACCCAGAGCTCCAAACCACACTCTGGAATTGCAGCTTAATTGAGAAATTGAAGTCTTGAGTGGACAGAGCAGGGTGAGATCTTCCACAAGAGCCCACAAAACCCCCTCCAGGCCAGGGGGCTCCTGGGGCAGGGGAGTTTTCTGTCCTTTTGTCCCCTGGAATCCATCCCAAACCTTCACCCATCTCTGGATGACGAATCGGCTCCGATCTCTCAGGGGTTTTAAAGGAGATCAGAGCCTTTCTCCTCCTCATCAGCACCTGCCCAGCTCCTTCCCCCCGGGCTGGGCCCCTCAGTGTCTGAGCACGGTGGGGGTGATCATCCTGGGGTGGGAGTAGTAGCGGCACTCGCGGGGCGGCTGCAGCTCCATCACGCTCGTGCTGATGTTCTCCCTCCTGAACCCCGCCTGCAGCAGCGGCCCCACCTGGGTCTCCTGCGGGACAGCAGGGGATGGAGGAGCAGCCGTGGGTGTCAGCTGTGACAAGGGACACAGCGGGGACACGGGACCCCAGAGGGAAAAGCCCTGCGAGCTCTCGTTTTGGCTCATCGCCAGTACCGCGGATGAGTTCCGCAGCCGTGGAGTGGCTCTTGCTCATCCCGGGCACAGCTTTGGGGAGGGGAACAACGCACCTCAAACATCTTCTGGATGTCGCTGTAGCTGGTTTTGAGCAGCTCCCCCCACGAGGTGAGGTTGCAGTAGGTGAGGACCCCTCCGGGCCGCAGCAGGCGGAACGCGTGGCCCT